GTCAATTAGCAATGCAAATCTGTCTTTTACATGTTTAGATTCTATGGTTGTTCCTTAGGTTATATTTTTGCGCAATTAGGAATTTAGTGTAATTTTTAAGCGTTACAACTTTTTTGATACTAGCATTTAATTGCCTGTACCACAATCAACTTCCGGTCTTGTTTCTGCAGAGAGAATGGATCTTCTCCAACTTCTGTTTCTAATTACTGGTATGAAGTCTAGTTGATTTCTACATTGGCTATTTGGTAAAATCCATGTGTATTTGGTTGTTTGAAAGAGGTCTTTGCAATTAAGAACTCACAAAAATTTTGCTTTTGCTTCATTTCTGTCAATCTCTCCTACAATGTTTGGTCCTGCTCAAGTTTCTCACTTTCACATCCCAATTGCTTATGAGTATCATGCCTGGATATATGAACATTATCAGGAGGAATGTGGTGTATATACCAGTTGTACGCTAAAACTTAAGTTTAACTATATTGTGCTACCAAAAATATTGATTTCAACTTTAGTAAGACATGCACATTCATTAAGTGTCCCATATTTTTCTTTGATTATGTTTTTATGGATTTTAATTGATTTTTTAAATACCATTTATATTTAATTCTGTTTTAATGTCTGTATTTTTTAGATTTTAAATCGTATTGAAATGCTGTTAATGTAAGCCATGTTGAGTCTCCTTGTGGAGACAAAAAAGGACGGTATAAATAAATATAACAGCAACAACAACAGCAACAAGCTTCTCCATAGAACAGCTACTCACTTGCATTAATGATGAAATACAAGACAAACACTTCAATCTTCTCTACCATTAACAAAACAACAGTAGCTTATGATTTTAATATATTTTATGACAGCTTCTTTAGTTTTGCCTCTAGCAAGAACAATTATACACGCCTCAGATAACTAACAGCCTTCACCTTTGAACAATAATACTTGCCATCTTGCTTCCATCAAGATTATATTGATATGAGTAGTTGTGGGTGCCTTCCAAACCAAAGTAATCAAATACTTTGCCTTAACAAATATTTATTTTGCTGGCAATTAAAAAAAGAATACCTTATGTTCTTCTGTAATGAATGACAATCAAGTTCAAACACACAGTCGGTACTTTGTGAAGGGTGGAAGAGGTTGATGTGAAAGTTTGGTTGCTGTTATGGATTCCTTAACCGAACCATGAATGTGAATAAAGCATTGTACTGTGTGATTCAAGGCATTTACTACAGCTCTTGTGTTGACTGCCAGTTTTTTCTTTGAAAAGTGGCAGGATCTAATGCTTTATAAGTGCATACGTGTAATGCTAGTTATGATGCTGAGACATCACACTGCCACTTATGCTTGTTCCTGAGAAACAAATGTCTCCAAACTGGATTTTCAAGTGAAGCAAAGAACTACAATGCAACAAAAAAAAAATCAGAAACAGAAAATAAATGTAGCAATAATGATGCTATAACAGCAAAGGCATCACTTTAGTTGGTGTCCCACAATGTAGTAATTCATAGTGTTATCCACATATACTTCCTTCTGTACCAGATCATACATAATTCTTAGGGGTTTTTTGTACTAATACTACTTGCAAATTGGAACTCCTGCTTACCACTGCTAGATAGAGGAACAACAACAACAACAACACTTTATTTATATTCCGCCCTTCTCCCCAAGGGGACTTAGAGCGGATTACATTATATAAAAATACACAGGCAAACATTCAATGCCTTGTTACAATGACACAAAATGACAAATACACAGACAAAGACAAAGGCTTCCCCTTTCAATTCCGGTTCTGGAGGTGGTGCTAATCTTCGGCTTTGACGGAGGTGTTCTTTCTCCATTTCTAAGCCAAGGAGCCCGCATCCATAGATACTTCCTGGTTGTGTGGCCAGCATGACTGCTTGGAACATCTTTTGCCACTGGAGCCGTACCTATTAACCTACCCACATTTGCATGTTTTCGAACTACTAGGTTGACAGGAGCTAGGGCTAACAGCGGGAACTCACCCCATCCCATGGATTCACACTGCCAACTTTCAGTCAGCAGTTCAGCAGCACAAGGTTTTAACCCATTGTGCCACCGCAGCAAGAAAAGGTGACCAGGGCAGGTGTAAAACAGGAGCTTCTTTGTCACAGGTTAGTTTAGTTTTGAGCTAACCTCCTCCTGGTTCCTCTTTGATGCAAATTACCTCTGCTTTAGGAATGCAGATAGTTATCAGATAAAAATATAAATAATTGGATTTTATAAACAGTGCTCTTTGAGAAGGAATATGCTGCGTGCAGTCCATGAACCATTGTCTTCTGCTCCATTGCAAGTTTGCAGAGAATAAAGAAACAGTTGTAACCAAGGGAGGCAATGATAATACTGGTCCCTGGCACACAAGAGGAAAAAAATATCTGCATATCAGATAGCCTGAAAAGCACGGTGTTCACGAGCCTATAGAAATACCCACTATTGAAATGTGGACCATACATTTATATGCATTTTTAGATTGCAGCAGAATTGTGTGTTTTCAGGGCCAGCCCAAGATATTTGCCCCCCTGAGGAAAAGCAGGGAGCAATTTTCCAAGTGAAAAAACAAAGTCCAATAGGAATAAATGTAAAAACCAACCATATCCTGATCTTTGGCAAGGCCTGAACCGCCCCGCCCCCCAATCTTAGTTTGCCCATGCCTGCCGTAGGTGGGTGTGGATGATGAGATCTTGTTTTTATGGATGTGAGAGATGAGAAACCTTGTTCCTTAAAAAGGAGAAACAACAAATGGATAGAATCTTGTTTTTGTTCTGATTTTTTAAAATATCACAAATGGACACACCGTGGTGTTGACAATGAATAGATTGTGGGGAATGAGATCTTATTTAATAAAGCTTTTGACAGTCAATGGATATGGGTGGCAAGATCTTAGGGGTTTTATTTGTTAGAAAGGAGACCACCTTGCCCTTTGCCCTCAATGTGTTGAGAATGGATGGAGGTGGCGATAAGATCTTTGTTTTTTTGTTTTTTTGAAGCCACCTTGTGCTTCGCTATGAAAGTGTTGAGAATGGATAGATGGGATGATGAGAGCTAAATGTTTTTTAAGCCACCTTGTCCTTTGCCATCAAGGTGTTGAGAATGAATGGATGTAGCAATGACATTTTGGTGTTTTTTTAAAGTCCAGATATCCTTTGCCATCAAAGTTTTCTTTTTCTGTGTGTCAGGAATGACTTGGGAAATTACAAGTTGCTTCTTGGCTGCTTGCAAGGACATTGCCCAGGGGACGCCCAGATGTTTGACCATCCTTGTTGGAGGCTTCTCTCATGTCCCCGTGTGGGGACCTGGAGCTGACAAAGGGAGCTCAACCCGCTCTCCGCAGATTCGCACCGCTGACCTGTCAGTCATCAGTCAAATAGGTTTAACCCATTGCGCCACTGGGGGGCTCCTGCCAACAAGAATGGATAAATGTGGTGAGGAGATCTTGGTTTTGTTTTTTTGAAGCCACCTTGTCCTTTTGCCACCAAGGTGTTGAGAATGGATGGATGTGGTGATTTTTTTTTCTGTCAGGAGCAACTTGAGAAACTGCAAGTTGCTTCTTGTGTGAGAGAATTGGCCATCTGCAAGGATGTTGCCCAGGATGTTTTGATGTGTTACCATCCTTGTGGGAGGCTTCTCCCATGTCCCTGCATGGGGAGCTGGAGCTGACAGAGGGAGCTCAACCCACTCTCCCCAGATTCAAACTGCTGACCTGTCAGTCAAATAGGTGTAACCCATTGTGCCATGGGGGGGGGGGTTGTTGGTGACTCCTGCCATCAACCTGCAACCTGGTGATAAAATCTAGGTGTCCTTTTGTCACCAAGATGTTGAGAATGGAAAGATGAGGTGAGGAGATCTTGGTGTTGTTTTTCAAAGCCACTTTGTCCTTTGACATCCTCAAGGTGTTGGCGACCAATGGATTCATTTGTATTATTATTTCCAAGCCACCTTGTCCTTTGCAATCCTGAAGGTGTTGGCAACCAATGGATGTATTGTCGAAGGCTTTCATGGCTGGAATCACTGGGTTGTTGTAGGTTTTTTGGGCTGTATGGCCATGTTCTAGAGGCATTCTCTCCTGACGTTTCGCCTGCATCAATGATAGGCATCCTCTGAGGTTGTGAGGTCAACCAATGGATGATTTTTTTTTGTCAGCCACCTAGTCCTTTGACATCCTGAAGGTGTTGGAATGGATTATTTTGTTTTCGGTATTTTTTTTTTGTAAGCCACCTTGTCCTTTGCCATCCTTAAGGTGTTGGCAACCAATGGATGTATTGTCGAAGGCTTTCATGGCCGGAATCACAGGGTTGTTGTAGGTTTTTCGGGCTGTATGGCCATGTTCTAGAGGCATTCTCTCCTGACGTTTCGCCTGCATCTATGGCAAGCATCCTCAGAGGTTGTGAGGTCAACCAATGGATAATTTTTTTGTATTTCTTTTGTGAGCCACCTTGTCCTTTGCCATCCTTAGAGTGTTGGCAACCAATGGATGAGATTTTTTTGTATTTTTTTGTAAGCCACCTTGCTCTTTGCCATCCTGAAGGTGTTGTCACCCAATGGGCGGCGTTGTCTTTCCTGGGCTTTCCCCCTTGGCGCCGTGTGCTGCGGGGTGGGGAGGGGAGGGGAGGGGGGAGTGGAGGGAGGGTCTGGGAGCAGGACTCCYTTTCCCAGGGTTCCCCGGGGCCGGCGGAGGAGAGGGGAGGGGGCGCGGAGCAGAGAGAGAGAGAGCGCGAGCGAGGGGTCTTTGTGCCTCCCCCGCCTCCCTTGCTCTTGCCTTTGCTCCGCCTGCCCTGCTGCTGGGCGGCCCCTTTTGTGGTGGAGGAGGAGGAGGAGGAGGAGGAGGGGGACCGGGAGCTTTCCTTCCTTCCTCCCTCCCTCCCTCCCTGTCTCTTTCCCGCTCGGGGGGTGGGATGGCGCGGCGTGGCCGTGGGGTGGAGGAGGAGGAGGAGGAGGAGGAGAGCCCCTCTCCCCGKTGGCGCCGCGGGGGCGCTCCTTGCTAGAGAGAGAGAGAGAGAGAGAGAGAGACCGAGAGACCGCGCCGGAGAGAAAGGGCTCGTGCCTCGGGGTGTCTCGCGCGGGGCTGGCCTTGGAAGAGGAGGAGGAGGAGGAAGGTGGGCGGGGAAGGCATCGGCCCCAACGTGGCGGCGGCGCTGCTGCTGCTGCTGCTTTGGAGAGGGAACCCCGCGGAGGCAGAGGCAGAGGCATTAGCAGGAGGAGGAGGAGGAGAGCGGCGGCGAGGGCGAGGGCGGCTGGCCCCGGGATTAAGGGCCCCCTCCTCCACCGGCCCCGCCATGGGCAACGCGGGCAGCATGGACGCGCAGCCGGCGGACTTCAGGGCTCCGCCGGGCCCGCCGCTCAAGCTGCCCTTGCCGGAGCCCGCCGAGCTGGAGGAGCGCTTCAACGTCGTCCTGGTGAGTCTCCACGGAGAGCGGCTCCCTCCCTCCCTCGCGCCCTCCTCTCCCCAAAGGGAGGGTGCTCTCTCTCTCTCTCTCTCTCCCCCCCAAAGGGACCTCCTTTGCAATCACCCCCACTCCCCTCTCTCTCTGTGTGTATATGACTTTGCCTGGCTTCCCTGCGCAGCCCTCATCCCAAGGCTCCCTTGTATCATCCCAAGGAGGTCCCAAAAGGGAAGGGGTGGGATGCGCATCCCTTCTTTCTTTGCTACTATCCCAGAATATGCCCCATTATCCGAGTGTGGACTCTGACAACCCAGTTCAAAGCAGATACTGTGGGATTTTCCGCCTTGATATCCTGGGATAGAGGGCTGTCTAAAAGAGCCCCATGTTTCCCTCACTAAAAGGGCACCAAAGTGTGGATGCCCTCCCTCCTCCCAGTGTAGATAGATATGAGGGTGTTGTGCTTGTGGGTGAGTTTCCCCGGCTCCCCTTTGCCCAGGCTTGGGCCAATTTGGGCCCTCCCTCCAGGGGTTTTGGAGTTCAACCACCACCACTCCTGTCAGCCTCAGGCACCTTCCTTCTCCCCTCTCAGCTGCTCAAGCGAAAAGGAAAGGCCCTGAGGCTGTTAGGCAGTGGTTCTCAACCTGTGGGTCCCCAGATGTTTTGGCCTCCAACTCCCAGATATCCTAACAGCTGGTAAACTGGCTGGGACTTCTGGGAATTATAGGCCAGTGGTTCTCAGCCTGTGGGTCCCCAGGTGATTTGGCCTACAACTACCAGAAATCCCAGCCAGTTTACTAGCTGTTAGGATTGTTGGGAGTTGGAGGTCAAAACATCTGGGGATCCACAGGTTGAGAACTACTGTTGGAGGCCAAAACACCTGGGGACCCACAAGGTGAGACTCACTGGTCTAAACTATAGAATTAATGCAGGTTGACACCACTTTAACTGTCATGACCCATCACAGTGGAATCATAGCAGTGGTTCCAGAACATCTGGGTACCTCACCATACGAGGAATATGAGGATTCCCTAATGCAGTGGTTCTCAACCTGGGGTCCCCAGATGTTTTTCACCTTCAACTCCCAGAAATCCTAACATCTAGTAAACTGGCTGGGATTTCTGGGAGTTGTAGGCCAAAAGCATCTGGGGACACCAGGTTGAGAACCACTGCCCTAATCCAATAGATGGAGCAAATTGCGTTTCTATAGGAATGGTGGAAGTTGAAGTCCAAAACCCTTGGAGGGAGGACCCAAGTTGGCCCAGGCCTGCCTTTTCCCCTCAATCACCCTGAGACCCGAAAGAGGAATCCTCATAAGAATGATAAAACTTTATGATAACTACCCCCCCAAGATCCCAAACAATTCGCAACTATACCTAATTAAAAGGACCACAGAGAAGCAAAAAATTAAGTAATAATAACATAATTGATCAACCACTGTATATCTAAGGTCCCCTTTCCACACAGCCCTGGAACCCAGAATATCAAGGCAGAAAATCCCTTAATATCTGTTTTGAACTGGGTTAGCCATGTCCAAACTGCCATATATTCCCGTTCAAAGCAGATAGTGCATGAGGTCACAAAGAGTCCGAAGCAACTGAACAAATAAACAACAACAAAGTGTAGGATTTTATTCAGCTGTGTGGAAGGAGCCTAACATTCAATCACGACAGAAATTTAAGCAAATCTAAAATTTTAAAGAATTGTATCCAGCCAACCAAGCTAGAGGAAGGCCATGGAGGCACCTGGCTTTTTCTCCTTCACATCCTTTTTCTTTCCTCACCAATTAGAAAAATAGCGAAAAGTAAGAAGCTTCTTGTGTCACTCAGTGCGTTCTCATGTGACTTTACTCCACATCCCAAGGAAGGTGGGATCATTGAGGCCCTTCATGCCTTTTTGTCCCTGTCTCACCACAAAACAGAAATGACACACGTGTGGGGAACTCTCTCTCTCTCTCTCCCTTGCAAATATTGATATGTGCATGTGTGTTGGACTTTCTCCATGTCTTGGGGAGAACCAGTAGAAGGAGGCCATGGAGGTGCTTGCTTGCTTGCTTTCCTTCCCCTCTTTTCTCACTAAAAAGAACACCAGAGTGTCAATATTGAGATATGTGTGAGTGTGTGTCAGAGATCCCGCCGAGTTGTGAGTATGAGTAAACCTTCCTGCAACCTCTTTCCACCTCACCAGCCTTCTTCCTTCCCTGGATCAGACTGAACCACAGCAATAAACCTTGCAGGTTTCCTCCTTTGATAGAAGGACAATGAATCCCCCCCCCCCCCCCCCGTCCTCCTCGAAAATAATAATAATGCAAAAGAGGACAAAACAGTGTGAGCTCTCAAAAGGATCTTTGTGTGTAGATTGTGTGTTTGGAGGAGGGAGAGATCCTTGCGAAAGGGGAGGGGGAGAGAAACGAGGGTCTCTTGAGGGTCTCTCGAAGGGAGCCTGGAAAGCAGCTGATCCATTGTTTGAAGGGAAGGAAGGGGCAGCTTGTGCATGCTCTTGCTGCTTCTGGGTCTCTCTGTGTGAAAGGGAATTGGTGTGAGGAGCAGAGGAAGAAGCCAATGGGGGCGTGTTTGTGTGTGCTTCCTTTGCCCAGTCTTTGGGGCCCCTTCCCAGCTCTTGATCTCTTCGGGAAAAGCGAAAGGAGAGGACCCCCCCCCTCCACTCTCCTTCTCTCCCAGAGAGAGATTCAGGCTCCGGTGAAAGTTCTCTCAGTGCAGGCGGCCATTCAGTTGCTAGTATGCAAAGAGGATCTGCATCTCATTTGCTGAAAGGGGGAGCAGCCGGAAAACATGGAGAAAGAAGAGAACAGGGCAGGCTTGAGGTTGCATGGTGGGATTCCTTGCCTTCAAAACACAGTACAAAACCTGCAGGATGTCCACTTGGTTTGTTTGAGCCGGGGAGGCTAGTAAATGTGAACATTCTCGTAGAGCAGTGGCTCTCAACCTTCTGCTGCTACCCCCTGATACCGTTTCTCATGTTGTGTGACCCTCAAACATTAAATTATTTTTGTTGGTACTTCATAGCTAATTTTGCTACTATTATGAATCGTAAGGTAAATTTCTGATATGCAGGATGTACATGGGTGGGTCAAAAGGTTTTGTCTCCTGTGTCATAAAAACATTACAAATGGACATATAACAGCAGAAGTTGCTACAGATCATAGCTTGAACTGTCCTCTACTCAAAACTACCGTTCAACACAGTCAACATCAATTTGTACACACTTGTACCATCATTTAACCCAGGCATCAACACCATTTTGGAAAAATTCAGGGTTTTGCTTCGTGACCCATGATTTTAAAGCTGTTTAAATGTCATTCAGTGCCAAAGTACACAGAAGCCGGAGATCCTCTGAAAGACAATCTATGTGGTTTCAGATTCAATACCTTGAATGACATTAAAGGAAGAGAAGAGATCTTCAAGCTTCTCTGCCAAAGGGGTTCCTAAGGCCATCAGAAATATGTGTTTTCTGACAGTCTTTGGCAACCCCTCTGAAGCCCCCCTCACAACCCACAGGGGTCCTGATTCCCAGGTTGAAAAACGCTGCCATAGAGAAACTTTTAAAGCAGTTCTTGGTCCTTCAGACTGTTGAGTGGGCCAACAATCTGAAAGAACCATGAACCTATGCGCACTGCATGTATCTTATTTTTAGTTCAACAAAACATGAAAGAACAATACAATATTTCAAATGAAAAACAATTTCAACCAGCATAAACCAAAATTTTGGTCCCAAAACCTGCCCTCGACTTGTACGCGGGTGGGTCAAAAAGTAATGCCTCCATTGCTCTAACTTTTATTTCTTTCACAGCTACTTGACTATCTATGCATGATATGATATTACTCTACTGATACAGTATTTTGAGTAGTGTCTGAAGCTAAAAGAAAGAGTCATCATTGAATTTCTGGCAAAAGAAGGTTGTGCACCTAAGGAAATCCACAATCACTTGAGGAATGTTTGTGATTTTGTTCCTTCTGACTTTTACCTGTTTGGAGCTCTGAAAGACAGCTTAGGTGGTTTCCGATTCAGTGACTTGAATGACGTTAAAACAGCTTTAAAATCATGGGTCACCAAGCAAAACCCAAAATTGTTTTGATGCTTGCGTAAACAGTGGTGCAAATGTGTACAAATTGATGTTGACTACATTGAATGGTGGGCGTCCCTGGTGGCGCGGTGGGTTAAACCGCTGAGCTGCTAAGTTTGTTGACCGAAAGGTCGAAGGTTTGAATCCAGAGAGCGGCATGAGCTTCCGCTGTCAACCCCAGCTTCTGCCAACCTAGCAGTTCAAAAACATGCAAATGTGAATAGATCAATAGGTACCACTCCAGTGGGAAGGTAACGGCACTCCATGCAGTCATGCTGGCCACATGACCTTGGAGGTGTCTACGGACAATGCTGGCTCTTCAGCTTAGAAATGGAGATGAGCACCAACTCCCAGAGTCAGACACGACTGGACTTAATGTCAGAGGAAAACCTTTACCTTTATGTTGAATGGTAGTTTTGTGTAGAGGACAGTTCAGGCTATGATCAGTAGCAACTTCTGCTGTTATATGTTCATTCATAACGTTTTTATGATACAGGAGGCAAAACTTTTTGACTCACCCTCGTATATGAGATGAATCCTGTTCCAGCTGCCTTGCCTGTTCAGAATTTAAATCCAAGGAGAGTGCCCAAGCAGCGGATACTGTTAACTGTGTTTTTCTGCACAAAGTGGAAGAAAGTTGTAAACCTTCTCAACCCCCCCCCCCCCCCCCCCCCCCCGCTTTCTTTAACTAAGGTGTGCAATTTGACAGGAGAACTTTGGTGGGTACACTGGAGGTGCGTGAGATTTCTCACCCTGCCTTTAAAAAACAAAAAGACATCTTTTTTGGATTAACAAAAAAAGTGTGTGTGTGTGTGTGTGTGTGTGGGGGGGTTATATACTTATTTAGGCAATCTCTCATTGTCCTAATATAATGGTTGCCCAAGTTCTTGGCAGACACCTGTGCGTGAGTTTTTTTAGTGTGTGGAGGTCG